CCAAAATATCATTTACATAAATCAGTCACTGTAGTTTTCAAAGTATAGTATAGTACCGAGAATTATGGGACACAGCCACTTCCCGTCATTCTGATTATTCCTCTCTCATTACTACCCTTTTTCCTATTTGTCAGAAAAGTTTGAGGGAGGCAGTTGCAAGAATAATATATATATATACTAGTATATATATAAAAAGTGCCTGGGGTGTATGATACATCAGACTTATCAGGAGCACACATTAACAATAAGGTCAGCTGTAAATGAAAATTAAGTAGGAAGGTATTTGTTTTATAAACCTTCTGTATACTCATGCTCAGGTCTTAACTCTTTTTCCTGTATGCAAAGCAGGGTAATAATTTAAATCATTAACTATCATTGTATATATAGTAAAGTACTGTATAACTATTTGTATACTTTGTGGAATAGATTAAATTTGAAAAAGTACTTCACAAAATGTTTTTAATATTTTGCATTTTTTTTTTATGGAGAATTTTCTCACTTGCTTCTATAAAAAAGTAAACAAGTGTGAACAGTATTCTCAGCAGAAGTAAAATACAGTTTAATAATTATATTTTATGTGGTTAAAATATTCATGGCATGATATTATAGAGTTCACATGCATATTATTATATTAATTTTTACAAGATAAAAACAATAAGTTGCAAGAAATGAACTGCAGTGCTGGAGAAGCTAAACGTACTTTTTCTCTCACTATTTGTATACATGGTAATATTATCAGGCATTGTGTTGACTGCATCAGCCCAGGAGATGCAGAATTGCTCGATGTAATACAATTCTTGTTTCTAGGATGATTTTACAGGTGTAGAATTGTGATCGGTTTTGTTTTGAAAAGTGCTTCATACACCTGTTTAGTTGATTATGAAGCTTATTGTCTTTAACCTCTTTCTAGCACTAGAATTTCTATAATATTATGCCAAGTATGTTCTCATATTTTGTGTTTGCTGGGACTGTATGTATAAAGTGTGTGTAAAAAGGTTTGTAGTGTTTGACTACATATTTCATAATTTTTTGTGCATTGGAAGGATTGTTAATTTATAAATTTTTCACCTTCTTCTCTAGGCTGATGCCTTCCCACCCCTTAAAAAGGGAAAATAGGGGCTAATGATTGAATGAATGATAAAATACTGTGAATAATGAAGTACAGTATCATTATAATTTTCAGCGGAGATTGGGAGAGGCACTATACTCTTGAAATATTTTTAGATTTTTCTCTTTCCTTTGGAGATTGAAAAATAATTTACTTGACTCCATGAAGTTATTGTAGTCAGTTTTTCTGTACAGATATTACATAAAAATAAAATTAAAACAAATTGATTGTAGTGTCTATCCACTGACAGTGCTAGGTTCCAGAAGTATGTATTTTTTTTTTTTTTTTTTTTTTTGCTTTGTTGATAAAGCTGTTTTTACCATAAATTGCACTGCAACTTTTACCAATGAATTTGTTGCTTGGCTAAGAATGTTTTTAAAGTGTTATTTCCTGTGGGTAGTCACACAAAATCTCTTGTAGTGCACTTCAACACACACAAGAGAGTAAAGTTGACAACAGTAAGAACTTACTGTCCGAAACCATTTACTGTACAGTACAGTACAGGTGTACTTGGAGATCCACTGCTACTCATCTCAGAGGTTCAGCAGTCTTTGAAGGAGCATTAGGCTAGTGGAACTTTGTGGAACTTTGTATATACTTTTGACCAAGTTGCCTGAAATCAGGTATACATAACTTATCTTATTCAGAACTATTCCAAATAAGCAGGTCTGGAATCTTTGTTCTCATAATAATGTAGTTCCATTTGTATTATATATCCTCCAAGGTTATTGCTCTTCAGTAGCAGAGAGGATAAGTCAAATGACATGTTTAAACTTTTCTCAAATAAACTAAAATTTTACTTGCATGACAAGGAACATAAATAAGCAAATAATTACAGGTATCTTATAAAATAGAAACTTTCCTTACAATAATTCTTTTAGTAGGCTATCTCTTGATAACAAAGTGACACATCAATCTTTTAGGCAACCAAATAACTACTAGTGTTCAAACATTAATTATTAAAAATAACCAGTTATAGTAGTTTAACAACCAAATATACTAGTGCTGTGTTTATGTATGGGTCAAAGCCTTCTGAAGGCCTGCTTCTCTGATATTTATCCTGATGAAACTTTTGTGATGTCTTTCCCAGAGACAAACATTTTTATACTGTGGAGCTTTATGTGATTTTGTATGCTCCATGACATACTTTCTGGAGGGGCCAAACGGTGGCTCCCTGTCACTAGTTGCAGTGAGATAGTTCCAAGCTATTGTCACATAAGCTCTTGTGAGTCATTAAAACCCTACCAGGGACCAGAGGCTAAGACCTGGCTCACCTCAAAGAGGCACCAAGAGTAGGGATTATGTGATCTCATTCACCAAGTAATCAAGCCCTCTCCCACCTGAGATAAGGGCAGCAAGATCAAGAGAGTAAAAAAATTAAAACAGCGAACAATCTGGGGTATATTGTTAGGTTACACCCACCCCCTAGTTACAACTGCCCACCACCAGGTGCCACTAGGACTGCTGCCTCTCATGTCAACAAATACTTAATCATTTGCCTTGTATCAGCCACTACAGGTCACTCCATTGGGTTGCTAGTTGTTCGAATCCTGGATTTTTCTTTTGTAAGTGTTGGATGTTCTTTTTTTAGACTGTCCTGTGGTGGCCCATTTGCTTATTTATCATTCCTATTTTTAGTATTAGATTCACATACTTGTTTACATGCCTCACTTGTTACATAGACTTGTTAATTCACCTTGAATTACATGTGTTTAGAGCTGCTCTTCCTTAAGTGCTTGCTGGTGTTGTCCTCCTGAGGAGGACAACACCAGCAAGTCTATCTTGCTTTGCCTTAGTGGTTCAAGGGCCTTGACTCTTTGTAAAGCTCTGAGGATGGGGCATTCAGGGATTGATCAATTAACCCTACAACGGGTTCGTCTAATTACCACAAGCTACACAAGCTTCCTGGCAATACGTTAGTAATGAATAAATATGATAGGTTAGGCTGACCTAACCTAACCTAACCTAATCTAACTTAACCAAACCAAACCTAACCTAACCTAATCGACGCTTGGATCGTCGACTTGATTTGGTGTCACCAGCTCTTTATTTTCGTCTAATTTCTTTATAAAAAGATACTTTTTCAGATTAAAATTATGTTCTTTCGTGATGTACATTCAGCACCAACATTATAATGAGTAAATATATCATATTTATTCATTACTAACGTATTGCCAGGAAGCTTTGTGAAGCTTGTGTAGCTTGTGGTAATTAGACGCACCGCCTACAACTGCTTTTCACAACCAAGGTTTGTTTGACCAGTGGTGCACACTGAACCAGGAGTGTATTTAGGAATTGTAAAACATTTGAAACTCCTCTGGGTACACAGGATTCACATCTGCTTCCTCAGGCCTCCAGCAAACAGATGCCACCTTTGCAACAGCCCAGTAGTGTCAAGAGAACAACTACAGACGATCACGTGCTTTGCGAACCCCTTGGGGATGAGACCCTTCGGTTACCATGTAAGTTCGTAAACGAGGAATGTAAATCTAGGGGAAAACATCAACAAGTTCATAGCATAAATGCGACAGTATTTTGTTTGTACTCACCAATAAAAGAAGTCCTGATCCACTGTTATGTTGATGATCATTGTTGATGGAGCATAGTTAGTTTAGAGTCTTTACATGGAAGAGGTGGTGATGGATGTTGATGGTGTTGGGTTAAGTGGAGATTAATGGTGGTAAGGTAACCTCAGATGGTGACGCATTTGGATCAACATGTGATGAGTCGGGTGCAGGTGAGGCAATGCCAGCTTTCTTTGAAGCCATTGCAAAAGGCTTTAATTGACATTTGTTTCAGTCCCTTTGATCTTCTTTTCAAAAACTTCATATACAAATTGTACAGGCTCAGCATGTCCTTAGTTTCAAACTCACTGTTACTTGTGTCCATAAATGCCAGAATGCCTTCAAGATATTTCTGATTCTGTTCCATATTACATTTTTCCTGTAATGCTTCTTCATGCTCTTCTCCTTCCTTGCCATCTTCTTCACTGCACTCTTCTGGCTTTTTTGTTGTACATAATTCTATAATTTGATCATCAGTCATGTTTTGAAAGGTTGGGGCTTCGTCATAATCTATCCAACTATCTATGTCATTTTCTATTGTTTCAGTCACCAGTTTTGCTCTCAGTTCTGGGGGCTTAAATCCCCTTGACTTATGCTAGGAATTCAACTCTTAATTTTTTCCTCTCACTAACTTTCTTCGCCACAAATCCTTCAAAATCTGCCTCGTCATCTTCCTCAGGAAACAGACTTGATGTGAGCCAAAGTTGTTTCCAACTACAGTATTTCTTAGTGTTGTTTGCTTTAACTCGTCCCATACACTAGCAATAGTCCAGATAGTTGACATTATTGTGAAGACTTTATAAAAGTCCTTAATTGTTCCTGGCTAATTAATTGTTCCTAGCTAATTATTTCCCGCTTCCCTTTGAGGAAAGTCCCTTGATAAAATTTTTGTGAGTCAAACTCCTTTGACACAATTCATCTTGTCTTTCAATTGTTTCTTATTAGCATTTATGAACTTTGGAGTACTCTGCGATAGATGGTGGTTTATAGCACTCACATTTTCTGCTCTTTAGCCTCCTGGGTTTAGCACACTTAATAATTAAATACTATACAGTGTCTGTATGATTAGGTGTGAAAACTATACTACTATGCAACATGCCTCCAATACCTTTAATATCATTCACATTATGTTCTGTTCTCCAATTGGCAGATATTTAGCACCTTTTGAATACTTTACGATTTAGACGGAGTTACATAGTTTTCTTGGCTTGGCGCCTTCTTTGATAATTACTTAGCCAGCGGTGAAAGCAGGCATAATATAATCTCATACTAATTCTCCCTCTACTTTAAGCAAACCTAGTTTTGCATATTATGTTGATAAAACAATATTATTACATATGCTTTATTTTTATTTTTTATATAAAATTCTTAGATACTGTACTGGAATGAATTAAATTTTCCTCCACAATTATAATACCATTCTTAGTGGATGGGTAAGTCACAAGGTATTTCAAGATTTATGCCCATGAAAACCAGATGCGTATTATAATTCAAATAAAAAGATTGGAAACCTTATTCTTGGTATAAAGGTCCACAATCAACATTTCCCATCTCCACATATATTGTGCGTGTCTGAGTGAAGTTATCTACTGCAGTATGACCATTTTCTCGACCAATTCCACTATGTTTGTAGCCACCAAAAGGAATTTCTGTTGGGTATAAATTGTAAGTGTTGATCCACACAGTTCCAGCTTCAATAGCATTAGCCACTCTATGACCACGGTGGATATCTCTGGAGAACAAAAAAAAAATATCTGTATTACAGAAAAAAATATTGTCAAATATACAATGAAAGCAAACTTTTCATATAATCTTCTGCATGAAGACTAAAAGAGCCAAAGCACAACTCTCACAAGCACAAAAAAGGCCACTACATCGGCTATTTCACATGTCAGGATAAAGATACTACAGGCATACCTCAGAATGCGAGTTTAATCCGTTCCTGGAGACGCCTCGCATTCCGAAGTTAATTTCCCCATAAGAAATAAAGGGAAATGAATTAATCCGTTCCTGACTACCCCAAAAACCCCACATCAAACTAAATTTTTATACCTAATTTACCTAATTCATCTAAATAAACCTACAAAACTATGTTCCAGTTATTACTTACCTTGCTGTCGAGTGCTGTAGGCGTATGGAAGATGGTGAGGAGGGGGGAGGAGGAGAGGAGTTACTGTTTGGAAGGGGAGTCCCCTTCCATAATCACATCAGGCAGTGAGGACCTTTCTGGTGTGCTCTCCCTGGGACGTTTAACCTGAGTGCCACTAGGTCCTGGTTGAGGCTCACTGCTCGATTTCCTCACCACAAATCTGTCCATGGAAGCTTGCTTTTCCCTTCTTCGCAAGCTGTCTCTGTAGTAAGGCATCACATTGTCATTGAAAAGATTAAGACAACGGCCTACTACAGCTTTCTCTGGGTGAGTCTGTTCAATAGTTGTTTGAATCTCTTCCCACATCTGACACACCTTCTTAATTACTGCAGAAGGGACATTCGCTGGTGGTGTTGGTGCTGCTGCCACCTCCTCCTCCACTGCAGAATCATTCGCTGCTGCGTTGGCTTGCTGTTCCTGTTGAAGGGCTAGGAGTTCTTCGGTGGTCAGTTCTTCGTTGTGTTCTTCCACCAACTCCTCCACATCATCACCCAACCTGTCCTCTTAAAAAGAACATCGCTTTTGGCCGTTTGCCCGTATGGCCGAATTTGGACGTAATTTGAAAATGAAAAAAAAAATGAAAATAAATTTGGGATTTTTTTTTCAACAACAGTAAGTTAAGGGTCCTCTGATAGGTTAGGTGGGCAGGAAATTCTCATACAGTTTCAAAACGTTATGAAAAACGTTAATTTAAAGTGTCCTCTTATAACCTCTGCGCGTACGCCGGACGACTCAAACAGAAAACGGAACAGAACGTCACTTTTGTGAGTCGATTTCATTTCAAATTACGTCCAAATTTGGCCATAGCGCGCATACCAGCGAAAAGTGACGTTCTTTTTGAGAGGACGGGTTGCATCACCATCCAATTCCAAGCCCATTTGCTGGCCTAGACTAACAATTTCCTCAACAATAGGCGCATCATTTATAGGCTCAAACCCCTCAAAGTCTAGTTCTCTCACACCTTCAGGCCACAATTTTCTCCAGCCAGAGATCAGGGTTCTTTGAGTCACTTCTTGCCAGGCTTTGTCAACGAGTTTTAAAGCACTACAAATGTTAAAATGCTCTCTCCAGAACTCTTTGAGGGTGAGGTTTGTGGCTTCAGTCACTTCAAAACATTTCCGGAAAAGTGCCCTTTCATACAGTTTCTTAAAATTCGCTATGATTTTCTGGTCCATAGGCTGAATTAGAGGAGTGGTGTTAGGAGGAAGGAATTTAACTGTGAGGAATTTATTGTATTGAGGCATCAAATCATCTTCCAAGCCTGGAGGATGAGCAGGAGCATTGTCAAGGAGAAGCACGGCTTTGAGTGGCAATTGTTTCTCCTGCAGATATTTTTCTATGGCAGGGCACAGCACTTCATTCACCCACTCCGAAAAAATAAGCCTAGTGACCCATGCTTTTTTATTAGACTTCCACATCACACACAAACGGGTTTTCTGCACATTATACTGTTTGAAAACCCTTGGATTTTCAGAATGATACACTAGCAAGGGTTTAATTTTCAAATCGCCACTCGCATTTGAACACAGCACAAGCGTAAACCTATCTTTCATAGGCTTGTGTCCAGGCAAGGATTTTTCCTCCTTGGTAATGTATGTCCTCTTAGGCATTCTTTTCCAAAACAGTCCTGTTTCGTCACAATTAAACACTTGTTGCGGTAGGTATCCCTCAGCCTCTGCAAACTCTTTAAATTCGTCAATAAATCGTCCAGCGGCTGGTTTGTCTGAGCTGGCTGCCTCCCCATGCCTTGTAACACTATGGATACCCCTTCTCTTTCTAAATTTTTCAAACCAGCCCCTGCTTGCCTTAAACTCTTTCTTATCTGCATCACTCGTTGCAGGGGTCTTCTTTAGAAGGTCTTCGTGCAACACCCTGGCTTTCTCACAAATAATGGCCTCCGAAACACTATCACCCCTCAACTCCTTGTCGTGTATCCAAATTAATAACAACTTTTCCACTTCTTCAAGTATTTGTGGTCTTTGTGCCGTTAATGTTCTTACTCCTTTTGCCACATTAGCACTCATAATCTTATTTTTCTTCTTAAGTATAGTGCATATTGTTGATGTGGCTTTGTTGTACTGCCTACAAAGTTCAACAACACGTGTACCGTTCTCATGCTTCCGAATGATCTCTTGTTTCTCCTCTATTGTCATCCTCACATGAGCTTTCTGGCCTTTATCCTTACCACTGGCTTTCTTGGGACTCATGGTGAGATATATAATAACAAATTGTATAGACAAATCACCAAAAATCCAACAAAACACTGAAAATCCGCGACAAGAATTGATGTGGGGGTAGTCACTGAGCGCGAGACAATGGTAAACTGAGGGCCAGCGGGGCAGAGGGGCGACGATCGCCGAACCACCACGCGCTAGGTCGGCTGTACGCGTATCAACAAACTCGCGTACAAACTCGCCTCCCGAAGTAACCATCGCCTTCCGAGACAAATTTTTGGAGTAAATACACCTCGCCTTCCGAAAACCTCGCATACAGGGACAATCGCATTCCGAGGTACCACTGTACATGTAAATTTTTACAAAAAGAAATTTTGAGTACTATAATTATTTCCCTCAAACTTATGATCCATTCCAATTCACTGGCATTTCTCGTGAATTATCCTGGTCCCGGTAGTACAGTCAGGTTTGTTCTAGACTCTCAATTGAGAATTCCAAGTTTGTGTGCCGGGTGAGACAGAAATGGTCGCACGTGTTTCCTATCACCTAATGCACCTGTCCACCTAGCAATAGATGCCCAGGAGTTAGTCAGCTTGTTTGTGGAGTTGCATCCTGAGAAGGGTCAGTAATTCAACTCGGGGGGGGGGGGGGGGGATGGGCTGTGTAGACAACAGCACGGCGACGATGGTGAAGTCATGCTTGTTTTCAGATTGGGGAATTCTGCTTGCTAGGTTGGCTTTCAGTAGCAATTTTTAACCAGCTGTTTGTTTTGGGATGCCTACCTTTCTGGCAGATGGCAAACATAGAATGCTTCCAACCACATCGGGTTTCTATAGGCCACTGCTCCTCATGCCTCTCTGAGGGGGCCAGACGAGGCCCCCCTCCTCCCCTCAGAGGAGGGGGGCCTCCTACCCCCAGTGGCTTGTGCTATCCAATAGACTAAAACTCCATTGAATTGACTGATGCCACAGTCTAATACATTCATATCAGCTCGGTAAGCTCCAGGGAGCCTCCAGGTCTCGCCCAGAAAATGGCGTTTCATTATATTCAAAGCTGTTTTTTTTTTACCCTGTTTCTTTGGTCCTCAATTCCAAGGCTCATATTTCTCAGGGTGTCTACAGTGTCATCAAATCTAGCCAGCCTGGAGTTTACACTCAGGCCATGATGATCACAAGAATGTTGCATTGGCACAGTCTTCAACATGTTATGAACTGATAATCAGACTTAGGAGTTTTAGGAGGTCTAACAAGATCTTGGCAGCCCAGCCCAGACGGTGAAGAGTAGAAGGAGAAGTGGAAGAGTATGTAAGGCAACCATAATCGAGTTTAGATAGGACGAGATAGGAGTGCAAATGGAGGAGCGTGCGCCTATCCACTCCCCAAGAAGTATGGGACAAAACCTTAAGGAGGTTAAGGGCCTTAGAGCATTCAACTCGGAGGTAAGAGATATGGGCTGACCAAGACAAACGAGTGTCAAAGATTAACCCCAAAAGCTTAGCGGAAGGTTTCCTGGCAAGTGGTCTCTTCAGATTAGTACCTGCCTTTTCTCCTTCTCCCTGGCAAGTCCCATGTTTTCCTGTTTCTTTGTGGTTAGATACCATCAGGGAGCACCCAGAAAACCATCAGTGAATGTAATCAAATGACCTTCTGGTAGAGCCCCAGTGGCTCCCTGACTTCCTCCTTCCTTACCAAGTTCATCGGTTCATAGTCCATCAGCTCCAGACTGATCAGCGGGGCCAAGACTCCAGGTTGCCTGGTGGCAACTATCGGTACTAATGGGTTTCAGGTAGTTGGTATAAACCACATATTTTGCTTGAATAGTTTGCAGAGTTGTGGGTGGTGCACCTTTGGACAGCTCAAAAATGCATTTTTTTATGCACCTTTGGAGCTGTCAGTAAAGTTTTGCTGACTTTTTCTGCTTTCCTGGTGAGCATGACAATAATAGTCCCCTGCTCTCTGCACTTCTGTGAATGGGCCAAGTTCTGACTTTGGTTCTTAGTAGGCAAAACATGACTCTTGCAACTGATATGACCTAGTAGTGGAGAGCCATTTCAGCAAATATAGCTTCTGGAAACCACTGGGCTTCTTCCCAAAAAGAAAGCAATTCCTTTCATTTAACACTAGTTTTATAAGAGAATGGTCACCAAACATTTTCATATGAATACTTAGATTTTGTAACCATCATTCTGCTTAGGGCAGCTTTCCTTAGTTGTGGGTTGATTTCTTATCCTCATTTGCTTCCCCACCTCTTTAAGGGGAAAGATTCTGTTAGAAGAAATATACTACTTCCATTTATACCATTTTTTTTTATAGTGTAGGACTTTGTACTGTATTTGTGTATGTTGAATTAGTTTAGTTTCTTCCACTCAAGCCATAATAGATATGTACTCCACTATTCTGTCTACATATAGCACTATTATTAATCTTGTCATTTCCCTCCATTATAGTGTTGTCATTATTTCATACCTTGTTTCAGGTATACCCAATTTTTCCAGCAAATTATAACCTTTCTCTATTTACAGTATCAAACTCTTTTAAAAATTCAGTCCTATACAGCAAAAATATAAAAAAAAATTCCCAACTTATGAAACTTTTTAAAACTGTCATTACTGTTAGAATTACACTATAAAACTTTATATTATAATATATTCAATGGCTTACTTTGTAAACACTCCTCCTGCTAGGCCAAAGTCCGTGTCATTGGCTCGCTTAACAGCTTCTTCCTCCGAATCAAACTCCAGTACTGATGCAACTGAACCAAATACCTCTTCCTTCACAACCTTTTGTATCAGAAAATGAGACCAAATCACAAGGAAGAATTTAAATATAGTATTAATAAAAAAATTCATATACATGTTCACTGTATAGTACATACCATATTCTGATGTATACACACACACATATGCACCGAGCAATAATATTCAAAACTTGAAAGACTACCTTCATTTGATCTTTACAGTTGACCAACACAGCTGGTGATAGGTACCACCCACCGCGTAGCTTCCCGGGTTGTATCACACGTTCTCCTCCACACAGTACTCTTGCACCCTATAAGACACTTAAAAATGTAAACTTCACTTTCTTGAAGGATTAGGGATTATTCTATTCTAAAAAATATGTATAATGCTATATCTCCTATAAATAAAATATTACTATTTAATAAACTTAATTTAGTCAAATGTAACAAACTTACACTGTAGCAGAAATAACAAAATATACAGCATTGACTAATTAAAAGCCTTTCTAGGCGAGCCCTGGTGGCTCAGTGAAGCTATCTTCCTGAGATGACTCCCAATTACTAGGTCATATCAACTGAAGAGTTCTGTTTGGCATACCAGGAACCAGAGTCAGAACCTAGCCCTCTGCACCCAAAGTGAAAGGAACCACTCCTGGAGGTGGCCAAGCTACATGCCAAGCTAAACCCTGCCCTAATTCTGAAACCCTTGGATGTTTTGGAGTAAGAAACAGGAGGAGAAGAATAGTGGCCAGGTGCACCACACCTGAAGAGGAAGGAAGAGGCAGTGACAGAACTAAAATTGAATTCACCAACAACTCCAATTCCAGCTCCCTAAAAACAAGATGGGGCCAACTTTATTGCATCTAACTGGGTACAAACTAACACTGCTGAAGATGGCAAAACAACCCATAAAGTGATAGCTGCCTGATAAGCTTTAACTTCATCATGAGGGTTAGAGAGAAGAGCCACATGGGGAAAGCAAACCACCACAGGACTCAGGGTTGTAGATGTCACCAACCCAATAGGCAGCATGGCCGAGGCAGAAAGAAAAGAACAATCATTCCCCCATGGCAAGGATGATGAACAACCCTCAAACTAGCACAAGGTGTTCAGAGAGGAATATCTATAGGCCACACCAGAACCCACAGGTAATTCCTAGGGCCTGAAGGAACAACAAAGCAGGACACCCAGGTACCAGGGATGCTCGCCAGATATAAGTAGGCCAACACAGTCTAGTTAATGCAGCTGTGAGGGGCCAACCCCAGCATGTGTAACCAAGCGTACAAACCACCAGATTGCCCACACCAGCCAAAATGTGCAGTCCAAACAGGGCCTAGACAGAGGGGACAGCAAGATCCCTATGCTCTTTCAGTACAGGGGCAGTACCAGAAAAGGTAACCTTGAGCACATGCAGCTCTTAAGTGCCCAATGAGCCAGGTCTACACAGCACAAATCAGATGAAAAATTCCTGAAGCACAACTAAAACAACGAACAATATCAAGCAAATGGCCCCCACAGGCTAAGTCCAAGGTTGGCCAGCACTTAGCTTAAAAGCAAAGGGACCTGCACAGCTTACCGACAATAGGGAGCTCTACAGTGGACCTCCACACATGTCCACATAAGTATCAGAATTGGTGTAAGGGGATGAAGGGGACCAGGAACTCCAGCTCCCCACCCCCAATCTGGAAGGGGGGTAATGGCAAGTACTAATGATCTCGAATTAGTTTCAAGAAATTTTATTATTTGTTTACATTGTTTGGGGAATTACTTTGACAGTTTCGAGGCTTTGGTCTCTTAAAACCCAGCAGTGGTCTGTATGGTTTGATGACTTTCTGGATGCTTCCTGAATGGGGTAGCAGAGTGTCACCTCTTTGTGAGCGGGAAGGGGTGAGGGGTCGGATCCCTAGTAGGCCAAACAGAACTCCGTGGCTGATGCGATCTAGTAGCTAGTAGCCATCTCAGCAAGATAGCTTTAGGAAGCCACCAGAGCTCACCCAGAAAGGGGCATTTCATAACATCAAAGATGGTTTTTTATATTTTTGCAAGATCAGGAACTGCATTTTAACATTAACAGTAAAAATAAAATATAATTTTATTGTCGTTGTTGTTGTGAACAGAGCATTTGTCGTGGAAATTAGGGCAAGCAATTCAGGGGTTAAATGAAGTAGGAATCAGGGTCATCTCTCTAAAGCCTCCTACACATTAACATTAATACATAGCAGTACTAATTGTGTATTAATCGTGTACTACTATGTATTAGTACATAGCAGTACTAATTCCCAATGCATTGTTAACCTTGCATTGGGCAAGGTTAACAATGCATGATTAAGGTTTGAGGGTCTTAAAGTATATGGAACTTGAAACTGAAAATGAGGGTTTGCCAGGCCGACAACACTAGCATGGCGTTATATTGGAAGGAGTGCAGCGGACACGAAATGGACGTGTCAACTGCTCGGCCCTGTGATTAAGAAAAACAAAGGGAAATAATGTTGCTATTGATATGTACATTTCAAGTTGCTGCAGGCGGGATAAAATCTTGTTTCAGTATGTGTACATCAACCAAGTTATTGGTATTTAACACAAATAATACATTGTGAAATGTAGTGTTTCACTACTAAGTGAAACAAATGCGAAAAACATAAAAGTTGAACATTCGAATCATTTCCTCCATACCAATGTGTTGACACTCACACATGGCATCAATTTTCACAATGACCCACAATATGGACTCCTCCTACAGCTCATAAAACCATAATAAATGTATTTTTTTTTTCCTTACACATTTTGCATGCAAATGTATCATTGTAAAAGAATACATTATATTTTTATTTTTGATGTGTGGGCAAGGTGACAATTTTGATTAAGAGTCTAATTGCAGGGGTTAAATATGCAGCCCACAAAGGGCCTAACTAAACATTACTTATCCAAACTTCATGCATACCTTCAAGACTACGAACAAATTCTCTCTCTTGAATGTCTTTTCCCATAAACAGTTTTTCTAATTTCCAACTTAGAGGAAAATATATACATCTACACTCACTTCTTCCTTGGCAGATGCAATAAAATCAAGAACCTTTTTGGCATGCTCTTCATGAATAGTTGCTCCTACAGTAGTATCTTCACCAAATGGATCTCCAAGCTTGAGTCTTTTAGTTGCATCCACCAATTTCTTGATAAACTCACTGGCAATACTGCTCTGAACAAACACCCTAGTTCCATTAGAACACACCTGAAATGCAGACAGTAAGTCACAATAATGTGGCTCATAATTAGACATCCAACCCACAGAGTTGAAAATGTGTGATAATGATCCAGGATGGACTAAATGTTGCAACTTTCTTTCCTTTCAGATGTGAGAGTTGGATGTCACATGAAATATTTAAAATAGTGCAAAGACAGGATGAATACAAACTTGATAATCAGTGTTGATTTTTTTTTGTTATGGAAACTGTGACTCATACGTCTGGCTGCGAGCAGCCGCATCCAACAGCCTGGTTGATCAGTCCAGCAACCAGGAGGCCTGGTCGACGACCGGGCCGCGGGGACGCTAAGCCCCGGAAGCACCTCAAGGTAACCTCAAGGTAAGGAAATACCCTCAGAAATAATCAAACATTTAACACTTTCGCGCACCCGACATGCGCGCCCCAACCCACCCCAAGGTGGGCCTGGCATTTCCTGGGAGAGTGCCCCCACACTAACATATATACTCTTTCTAGTGTTCTGACCTCAATTTTCAAGCTACGTCGTTCATTATGGTATCAAATTGATCACAATCTAAAAGCACGAATTATAAAACTAGTACTGTACTGTACCATAATAATCGAACAGTAAATGGAATTTTAACATATTTTAATTTTAGATGCTCATCACCACAAGTATTTATAATCTTTCCAGTGTTCTGACCTTAACTGTCATGCTACGTCGTTCATTATGGTATCAAATTGTTCGCAATCTAAAGGCGCATTTTAAAACTAGTCCCATAATAATCAAACAATACAGTAAATGGAATTTTAACAAATATTTTTAATTTTAGCAAACTTTGAGTACCAAGTCAAATTTTTTGAAGTGAGCGAGATCGAGACCCGAAAAATAAAAAAAAGGGCATTCGAAAACCGAGGTTCCCCTGTATTATGTACCGGTAGTTACTCACCTGACCCTGAGAGAGAAAGTTTGCCATCAATGTGGCTTTGACAGCATTCTTCATGTCAGCATCCTCAAATATTATGAGTGGAGATTTGCCCCCAAGCTCCAGTGTCACTGACTTTACACCTTTAGAACCAGCTGCCATCACCTGGAAAGACACACATGTCACATATTGATTGGTCAACAACTGTGGTAACCCCCCACCCCCAGACCACTCTGTAGTGTATCTGCCTCACATCTACAATAAAAGGGGTTGGGGATTGGGCTGGGAACCGACGCAACTACTTCAGGTTTAGCCACTGAAGGAGGATTCATTCATTCATTCTGAATATTCTACCTCAGGTGCCTAGTGAAGTGCCAAGTGAAATACCTATTACCAAGTGAACCTAGTACTTTAGCAGTTTACCAGTAACACTGCTGCCTTTACCAGCATATTTCTCAGAGGTCTTTGTTTATTTGTTCCAAGTTAATCCTTTTATTAAAATTGAATTTGCTGAATTCTCCTTCTCTTGGATTTGGTTTCATAATGCGCAGTGCAGGGGTTAAATGTAAATGTCAACAAAAAAATAAAGCAGTGACAGTGGAGAGAAATCAGTGTGAATGAATTATTTCTGTAACTAATTGAGCAAGTTGAAATTCTTTGGCTGTGTATTGTAAATGACTAAAGATAAATTGTTATTTGTTACAAGCAAAGCTGGGAAAAATAGACTCGAAGTGGCTGGCTTAATGGAAATCCTGGTGAAAAAGAACAAGGTATGAAAAGATGTAGTCAGAGAGCTGCAGGAAAAATTGGCAGTGCTGGTGTAGCACATACAGTACTGTATATGAAAATAAAGAATTACGGCAGTAGAAAGTGACAACATGAGAAGTATGTCTGGTGTCAGGAGAATAGATTTAAAAATATAATGTTATGGAATAATGCAGAATGCAAAAACTGGCAATTCCCAAAACTGAGTAGTGGTAACCAAGATGGTCAGTTACCGTCTGAGATTCATGATAAATGAGAGACTAGAAATGAGTGTATCCATGTGAATTTAAGGATAGGGGGAAGGAGAAGTAATGTAGGTCATGATGATGAACTGTCATGATGAGTGAATGCATGATGAAGCAGGGTTTAAGCATAAATAGTGCATAATAAGTGGTACTGAACAGGACTAGGTGACAATAGCTTGTGAAGTGCTTTATTTGTATATGACAACTCATGACGAGCACTGATGAAGCCATGGGTTCCGCCGTGGATAATCTGCTGAAGTGCAGTCATGCTTGTTGGCTGTGGAAGCTCTATAGTGTGTATGCTACAGTGAACAGACGAGTCATTTTGTATTATTTTTAACCATTTCATTCACTGCTTCCTTCTTTTCTCCAGAATGCTGCCTCCCCAATCTAATTAAAGTGGGAAATGAAGTAATGATGATGATAAATGTAAACATATTACAGTATACTGTATACTTATTACGTAAAATAGAAGTTTTCCAAAGTTGAATATTTACAGTCAAATTGGTTTTCTATTTGTTGCTAAAACATAATTCTGGCCCATGGACTTAATCAAGAATTGTATTACAGATCAATTATAACTATAAAGAAACAACTCTTATATGCAGTATAAATTTGTAGTTTACCTTAGTGCCAGTGGAGATGGATCCAGTGAAAGAGAGCTTTGCCACATCTGGATGATCACACAACTTGGCTCCACTCTCTCCATCTCCCTGCAACATCTCAGTCTTAAGTAAAAACATAACAATTTAAGAAATATAATGACTTAAAAACATTATATATCAGTATTGTTCTCTTTTGACCAGTTATGAGTTTTTTCTGTATTTAATTGCCATATTCCTCTTACATTTGGTCCATGTATTCTACTGTAGCTTCTAACAGGAGTCTGATATTAGCAACTAAAGAATAAGTCTGCATATCACACAGAAATCACAACAGCGTGATGCATCAAATGAACAAATCCACAAGGGCCGTGACGAACCCTAAGTTCAAACCCTTGTCACGGCCCTTGTGGATTTGTTCAAGTCTGCAGATATTTAAGAGAAGAGTTAACTAAATCTATTTACAAAAGATTTACTCACTTGTATAACATTGAAGACACCATCTGGCACTCCAGCCTCGGTGAGAATTTCCGCCAGCGTGACAGCTGTGACTGGTGTGAACTGTGAGGGCTTGTACACAAATGTGTTGCCACAAGCCAGTGCTGGTGCCACCTAAGAGTCATACAATTCCATTGTTCGCCTTCAACATTTCTTAATTTTATATTAGTACTGTATACATAACAGACAAAATTTACTGCCAAACAATGACTATCCTATTAATGACTTTTGCTTGTTAGGTGCAAAATTAGGAAAAATTAAGTGAATAAGTAATTTTTGGCAATATTGCTCAAGTACTGTACTGTAGTCTTTTAGTATGTAAAATATAGAATGAAAATTAAAAAATGCAAAACAAGATAATTGTAAAATTATTACAATTATGAAATTGTAGACATTTTAGAAAAACATTTATTATCTGTCAATGATTTTGAAAGCTTTTCTGCTGTAGTTTTTTTTACTGATGACCCGAGAAATATTAACAAATTGTAAAGATAATGGATCTTGTAAATCTGTATCCACTCCATGTTGGACTATTCACAGTAACTATCAAATCAAAAGAGTGCTGCCAGAGCAAATGCCACAATCATGGACATGCAGCCTTACATCTGTGTGTGCTCATTTCAACCCACTGAGTATCGAACACCAGGAATAATGAGCAATATCTTCAATTTTTTTTATTTTTAGGTCTGCAACAAGAAATCAACCTAGAGAATGGATTCTGTTGGCTATTTTTGTATTCTGTATTTTGGCCTTTTAGTGAACCTGTGTGTCATACATACCCATTCTTTAGTGAGGGGGTTAGAGACCTATAACATCTCTCTTTTGCACCCAGTGGTAATAAGGCAAACTATTGTTGCCACAGGGTAAACACCCTAACTGTGATGCATCTAAATGAAACCCAGTGGCAGCTCAGATCTCCCAGCACCAGGGCAGGGATGAGTAGCTAATGCACATTTCAGAAAATAGCATTTCATTACATTCTATGCTTAATTTCTGGGCAAGCCTCTTTAGTGCCTCCCTCAGCATAGGAGAAGATGGCACGAGATGAGATGGTGCAGAGGGCAGAAGTCAAATACCCGAGAGCTTGAGATTCTGGTCTTGGCTCCCAGTATGCAAGGGTGGGTTTCAAATGCCTGGTGCATCTTCCTAAGGTATGACAGTTCTTAGCTTAGGAAGCTACCAACCAGGGCCTTCTTAAAAATATTAATCAGAATACCCCACAGTAGCTTCCCTAGCCATTAGGTTTTGATGCTATAGGCACCTTTATGTTATCAGGCCTCTGGACCTATGCAGGTTTACCAAACAATAAAAATTTGAGTGTGATAATGGCAAGAGCATTATTTGGCTCAGATTTCCAAATATTGCTTGTTTTTGTTCTGAATAAGCTGTACAGTATTTGGATGTCTGCTTATTCTGCATCCAAGGAAAGGATGCAGAATAAGCAGCCTGGAACAGCCAGACAACCCACAAGTGTGCCAACCACTAAATGCCCCAACCCTAGAGGTCAGAACACTACAGCCAAAAACTTCAGAAAAGTAAACCCGGTACTGTATTACACCCGTACTCCCCAAAGTTTCTTAACTGCTTGCTTGACCAGAGCAGCTACAAGCACCTCATTTCTTTAAAGCTAACTGTTACCACCACCTCTGTATTTTAATTCCTGCCCACAGAGGAACCTACACCACAGTGGAGATAATGGTGTTATTAACTATCCACTGTGCTGACTGGCATCCAAACCTTGATGTTAGTTGACACACGTTTGGTCCTTTACTTACCAAAATCATCGGTAATTTCAAGTCATATACAAAGATTACTAGGAAGACAGGACACCACGAACATAGCTCTCATCTTGTAACCACACTTAAGTAATTACCTAGAGACCACTTTCTCATGTTATTCATTGGATGCATTGAAGCAGGAGACAGTTTTAGTTTATCTGATTTCAATAGTATAAGACTGGGGAGGGGTAGCTGAAAATTCAATTAAGGAAAGAATATTTAAATAAACTAAATAATGATGAAGGGAAATAATAATCATAACAGTATGAGGAAATAAGGTTAATTAAGTAATATTAATGCTCGGAGTAATTGTAGTTCATGACTTTATTAACCAAAGTTTTAACCCAATTACCTAATTATTTATATCCCTACCTCAAAGGCAATGATTAAAATGTGCATCTGAATCTGAACCACAAATTGAGTACAGTACTTACAATTTTAGTTAATTAATCCACAAGATTAGGGCAGGACCACCCCCTTACACCCTCCTTCCAACTTCACTCTCAAAACTCTTTTAAGACACCATTCCCTCTTCTTCCCTTCCACTCTCTTCTTCCTTCCGTTATCTCTATAGTTAGCAATATTAAAGTGGATGGCGTTTCCAAGATATGCTATCTGAACTATGGCCTGCCATAGCCCAAAGGTTCACCAGTCCTCTTTCCCCACTTCCTCTGCCTTCTATTACTCCTCTTTCTCTCCCCCCCCTCCTCCTCCTCCTCTTCACCCTCCTCCTCCTCTTTTCCTCCCTCCCCCTTCCTCTTCCACCTCTTCCTCTTCTTTGTCTTAAACTAACTAGAAATTTCTGAATTAATTTTGCCTTGCCACTAATGTAGGTGGTCACTGCTTCTCTAACAAGTTAGCAAAATTTAATATGACCCAGGATACATATCTGAAAAAGTGACTTGTGATCAAAACACCATTACTAGCGGAGTTCTCATGATTTCAATTAAGAAATTATCCCAATTAAGTACAGACAACAATGGGTTCATTCTGTGATCTTTGAACCCTCCTTTGTAACTAAAATGTCCCATGCCCCCCCACACAGGTCTTTGGAGAACATATTGTACCCAGTGAACTACACTGAACTGTTACACAAGGGCACACCTCAGAGCCCTGGCTGACAGAAGGAAGCTGGTAACCTGAGAACTGGTCCACTCTGGAAACCAAACAAATCCTGATGTCATACCAAATACCAAAATTGATCAGGACATGGTTAAAAATGGCTAGACATACCCCAAAATCCCACAATAGAGGGAATATTAAGGACTCCACATGGAGTCCTTAATATTCAGTCCTTAATATCCTTTCCCCTGTAGGAAAAGAACACATCCCCTCAGAAAGAATACAACTGGCCCTAGGACTGGAGCCTATTCACCATGTAGTAACAGATGAATGCAGTTGCCAAAAACAGAGGTTAGCATGGTACTGTATAAATATATGGCCACATCTGTGGTAGAAAGAGAAAACAACTGTCACCCTGACTGGGCAGTACCCATAGGGAAGGGGTGGGTAATTTTTCTCCAATTTATATTAAATTAAATAAATCATGAAATTTAAAACCATCATAAGAATTTGTGTGTTGGGTATGATTCCTCATACCTATATGTTGGGTATGTTTAATTCTGATAACATAGTCACCATAAATAAATGCCTACCTTCCATACACATGTCTGCATGGGAAAGTTCCAGGCCCCAATGCCTCCAATTACTCCTAGTGGCTGCCTCTGCACCATAGCAAATGAACCTCCATGCAGTGGAACATGCTGCCCTACAATATGAAAAGAAGCAGAGATCTAGAATCATACCATTTTGCATGCTTCATACTTAAAAATTGGTAATACTGTAGTTTAAAGTTACTGTTATCTTTCCAGAATACCATTAAGGAAGCCAAGGATAGAATGAAAAGAAAAAACCAAGAAATCGAACAAGTTACATCCTTAGACATAACCTGTATCTGTGCATGTAGGGCAGTATTTTAGCTGCAGGGAAAAGTCTTGAACTGCAACAAATTAACTGCTTGTGAAGTATTACTGTATATAAAACTAAAAAAAACATTAACAAGGAAAAAAATCAATGTGAAAGCAAATATACATGAGCGATACAAAATCATTTACAAATATGGTAGACGTGATCATCTTACCAATGATCGCAGGGGCCAAGCCACCATAATACTCAAGAGCCTCGGCACAAGATGCAATGTCTACACGAGCTTCCCATATGGGCTTACCAGTGTCACGTACCTGAAACAAAAAGTGCTAACTTACTTTAACATAAGAAAAATTATGAAAATTCATCCAAAATAGTTTTTTTATATAACATCCAAACAGAAGAATTGCATATAACACCTACAGTTGTCAATAATAAAATGTAAAATACCAAACTTGCCTCTAGTTTAGAAATATCTTCTAAATTTTCTCTGATGATGTGACCGGCTTTAATCAGCTTCTGGCCACGGTCTCGACCAGACAACTGAAAAAATATTGTACAATGGTATTAAACAACATTTTCATTAATGGTTAACTCAGTTGCTCCCTTGAGTCATGGTTATGATTCTACCCAGTTCATTACTAGTGCACTAGGCCCTGCCTGAACAGCTTTGAGCCCATCGAGACAAGTAACTTTTGAGTAGTCTTTTTCTATAGTCTAGGTTTGAGTAGTCTTATACAAGATACAATGTCTTGAATAATGTTATACAATAGTTTTATACAATGTTTTACAAGACTACTTTAAGTAGTCTTATTCCAGGTTTGTATCCTGGCCGGGGAGGATTGACCAGGTACCAATCCTTAACTATAGCATCTGTTCACCCAGCAATGAATGGGTACCTGGTTGTTAAACAATTTAGTTGATCATATTCTGGAGAAAATAGGATTAAGGACCTGCCCGAAATGCTATGCATGCTAGTGGCTTTACAAGAATGTAAGAACTCTTGTATATGCAGTGACGCCTCGATTAACGAATTTAATCCGTTCCAGCACTGAGCTCGTTATGTGAAACACTCGTTTTGCGAAACAACAACAACACTGTCATTGGAGACGTCCGAGAAGCAGCAGAAATGCTAGGAAGCACCATATACAGGTAATTTGCTCGTTAATCAAGACAAATTTTCTGCAAGTGGCTCGCTCATTACTCGAAATGCTTGTAACTGGAGTCGCTCGTCACTCAAGGTTCCACTGTATAGGAAAAAATAGTCCAATAGCCTGCTGTTTGGAGTGGCCTGCAGTCCCACATATTACAGCCCAGTCGGTCTGGCACTTCTTTCAAATTACTTACTTACATGATGTTCACAATGATAAACATGAAGCTGGCTCAACTGGGCCAACCAGTCAAACATTTAGGAAAGTGAGTCTTAGAAGAAGGTAAGAATATGTACATGAGTTAACAAAGAGCATGTGTGTAACAGGCCTGAGAGACCAGAAGATACTAATGTACAGCAAGAGGAAACAAAGTACAGTGGAATGACAGACAAACCAGACCACAGTGAGAATGAGACAATGAACAAAGGCATGGGACTCATTCTTAGCTAAGGAAGAGACTCCAACAGCACAAAATTTGTGCCAAAGACAAAAACGAGAGATCCCGACTACCACCACCACCACCACCACGTGAAGCTTGCCAGCCTTATTGCCAGGAAACCAGAATCAGAATGACTGCAACCTTTAATATAAGGTCCTCATGAGAGACGAAGAGAAGGTACTGCTGAGAAGTCCAAAAAGTCAAGGGCTAAATCAAGTAACCAGGCAGGTTGCTTGGTTGCTTGTTTTTTTCTTTCTTTCTCCTCTTATTCTTATACCCATCCTATCCATACCTCTTTTTTTCTTCTTGTTCTTACCTTTCACCTCCTCTTACCTGCTCCTCACCTCACTCCTGCCCTACTTATGCCTGTGCCTCCCTCGCTCCCATCACAATCGACTTGATAAGGGTCCAGGACGGAATGAAACGTCGTCGTCTCTTCATCTTCTAGTGTGTGGTTTGGTCACCAAACAAGCCGGCTCCAATGGAACATGAGCAGAGCAGAGATGAATAAAACATGGCTGAACTGGGAGAACAGGAGTAGATAAAACATCCAAGACAAACCCTCACAAAACGAGTCTCTGACAGCGATGACAAATATGAAGAAATTGTATTTGACAACAGCCAATACCTAGCAAAAAGTCAGGACAGGAGGATGCCTGGCATACAGACTGGAAGCACTGAAAAATAAAACAAATCCACCTCATGCTGGTGATGAGAAGACTCACAAATGAGCCACCAATAGATCCAACACCTGCTTCACGTGAATACAGAGACAAGGCAGCCCTAAAATCTTCAGATATGCAGATCGGTGGAGAGATGTGAATTCTGGGTAAAGAGAACATCTTCAGACTCTGAATGAGGGGCTGGATCAGCCACATAGGTGCAAAAAGAATGACATGGCCCACAAAACTCAACAGCTTAAACAGCAAAGGAAACAGCATCTAAACCGTCAAAAAAATGTCCAAAATACATTGGGCAAAATCACCATGAAGAATGAATGTGACACTATTCATAAGCCACTGTATTGTTATTCCCACTAAGTGCAGGGTGAACAGATAAATACTGTCAAGGATATATTTACAAGTACAGCACTACACAAGATCTGGTCATACTAACTAATATGTTTTATATTACACAACAGATTTAACAAATATCTGAATGCTTTACTTTACTCCATGTAGAAAACACTTCCTTGGCACTAGAAACTGCATGGTCCACCTCCAATGGTCCTGAGCGCAGCACCTCGCACAAAACTTGACCAGTTGCTGGCTCAGTTACCTAGAAAAATACAAACACTGAAAATATTCATAAATTGAAACAATATATATCTACAAAAAACAAGTGATAAATGTAAAAAAACACCAATTTCTTGGTGAGCCCCGGTGACTCCCTGAAGCTAGGTGATGAGATGGGTTACCATCTACTGGCTCACACCAGCTGTAGATTTCTAGAGGACTACCAGGGACAGAAGTCCCTGGTAGTCCTCTAGAACTAAAACTAAAGTCCTCTAGTCCTCTAAAGGTAGTCCTTAAAGTCTCCCCAGAGGCTGGGGGTTCTTTTCCCTCCAGAAAATAAATAATTACCTATTCAATGTTGTGGACACCCTGTATAAATAAAATTATTATACAAACAGCCAAGATATACTGTACTTTTGTAAATTAAATGTTTATAAACCAAAAATTTTATTTTGTACTGTATTTATGGTATATAAAAACTCAGCTGTCACCCTTGTTTCACAATGTAAATTCACCTTTATAGAGCCAAGTGACTCACTGGGGTCACACCGCTTGCCAGTCACATAGTTCCAAGGACCCGTCACAGATCGTGTAAAAGTACGACTAATAGTTCGACTACTGAAATATGACATCATCTGAAAAATACAAACATGCTCCATAAGTAGAGTGAATGGGTATAAGGAAGATAATTAATACTGTGGGCCACAACTTACAAACACCAAAACCACCAAAACACAGCATAATTAACTAAAGCACAAAACACTACTACAACTGCAATAACAACAACAACAGCAACTAGACCAATAAATAATAATGCACAAATAAATCATTGTATCATGATGTATCTGAGAAAATCAGGAGCCATGAGGAGGATTTGAACCTATGTTCTACTCACCTGGAACATAGCCGGAGAAGATTTCGGGAGTTCTTCTACTCCCGGGACAGGCCTGGGGCCACTTTCGACAGGCTAAAGAAATTATTATATAAAGCCATTAGTTATACTCAACATTTCCTGCATAACCTAAAACTATTTAAAAGTTACTTTAATATTAGATTTATTAGGATAATGCCTAATACCATAGAAGAGGTACGGTAAGCTAACATTTAGGAATTGTTTAAGAAATTAAGTAAATGATATAAACAATTCTGAAGGCATCTTGAGGTTATCTTGAGCTATATACCTATCTTGAGCATAGTCTACAGTAGTGTAATATACAGCCTGTAGTTTTAAGGACTGAATATGTATAGTACTTAATACATACATGCAATAACAAAACGACATTTCTGTTTTGGTTGAGTTGCACTCTTGCAATATCAAATAGATATTTGTTCCTGTTCTGTTGCAACCTTCTAGGAAGGTTTTAAAGTTAGGATAAGTATTTCACATCTGAGTTTTATAGATACAGTATCACAGTAGTGACCTAATCTTTAGCACATTCAAAGATCTGAATAAGAGAACAGAATGCTGTCTGGGACTGTAGTGTGTTATTGTTCAAATTGCTGATTTGTGTTCAGTAATTATGTAATTGGTAATTATGAGTTGTGGATTGTGCAAGTAACAAGATTTGTCCACATCAGCTCTGGATGTCCTTTTGCTCTAGACTAATATTCTCATTTGCCCTTCTGAGGATATATAGTTCACTACTACAAATATCCATAAATAAAAATAAACTACAAACTAAAAGAGGAGAATTGTCAGAGGAGTGATTCATCCCAATATTTTTGTAATACTGTATCTCAATACAGTACTGTAATTCAGTGCCTCATGGGCTTGTATCCAAATAACACATTGCCTTAAATGTCTATAATATCAAACAGATACAGAAATAATGGATAATAATTATTAATTATTATTATTATATCAAAACCACACAGAAATGATAAGTTTGTAACCAAAATACAAAGCATCGAATGGACATATATAAAAGCACCCAAAAAATTAGAGTACTGTATTAATATTAGGCAGTCTCCGTGGTATAGTGGTAAGACACTCGCCTGGCGTTCCGCGAGCGCTATGTCATGGGTTCTTATCCTGGCCAGGGAGGATTTACTGGGCGCAATTCCTAAACTGTAGCCTCTGTTTAACGCAACAGTAAAATGTGTACTTGGATGAAAAAACGATTCTTCGCGGCAGGGGATCGTATTCCAAGGACCTGCCCGAAACGCTACGCGTACTAGTGGCTGTACAAGAATGTAACAACTCTTGTATATATCTCAAAAAAAAAAAAAAAAAAAAATAAGGATCCAGTGTGGTACACAATCTTTAAAGTTAGATATAAAAGAGACCCGGTAGAAGACTCAGGTTTGTTCTCAACTAAGAATCTAGAATTCCGGGGTTGAATCTTGGGCGGGACAGAAAAATTGTTTGGTGCATTTCCTATCACCTAATGCACCTGTTCACCTAACAGTAAATAGGTAACCAGAACAAGTTAGTCAGCTTGTTGTGAGGTTGCATCCTGGTTGAGTTAGTAATTCGACCTTGGGGGGGGGTAACCTCAATATAAGCCTAACATTTATACAGTATATACACTGGCTGCCTGTCCCCCCTGACACACTGGATTATATCCTAGCCTTGAGATTAATTGTTTAAATGAATTCTCGCATTAGCCTACCCCAATATATATGCCTGCGATATGAAGGTTTTTTATTTATTTATTTATTTGTTTATTCATTTATATACAAGAAGGTACATTGGGGGTTAAGAGAGAACATAGAAATGAGGTTGATTTTACATTCTTGTAAAGCCTTGTATGCCTTCATATTGCCAGCATTCTATGGCATATTCCACTCCCCAGAGGTGAGTATAAACAAACTGAAGTACTGATTGATGATTGATTGATAAAGATTAAGCTACCCAAAAGGTGGCACGGGCACGAATAGCCCGTAAGGAATGGCCCTTTTGAGCCATTACCAGTATTAAGAGCTGATACTAGAGATCTATGGAGGTGCGACTCTGCACCCTGCGTGACGGGAAATGTCTCCCTTGGAGTACTGATTGATAAAGATTAAGCCACCCAAGAAGTGGCACGAGCATGAATAGCCCGTAACTTGGAGTACTGAAATAAATGTGTCTTCATACACACAATGCCGAAGCTCACTATACCTTACGTTAAGTGTGGCGCCTCGGACTACACTCCACTCTCACTTGTCATGGCTTATCTCGCCTTTGTACGCGACTCACAAGTATTATATAATTCATAAATGTTGGCGTATAAGATACGAGACTCTTGAACAATGATTATTAATCATAGGATCGAGTGTTGTCAATTTAGAGGCTAGTATCAAGGGGTCCATAGAATTACCCAAATCGACCCAAATCGGCCCAAAACTACCCAAATCGTCCTAGCATTACGTAAGTAATGAAGAAATGTGGTATATTTACTTACTATAATGTTGGTGCTACACGTAGAACATGATCAAACCTATTTTTACTCTGAAATAATCTAATTTCATAACGAAATGAGACGTAAATATGAGAGAGGTGACGCCATAGGAAGTCGACGGTCCAAGCGACAATTGTGTGGAGCGACTTATCCAAGATATATGGTCGCCAGGAGAGTGTTTGCTGCCATATCAGCCTCTTGTACACAGTGATCCAGTCGTCGTATTTCATGGCTCAAATTGTCGCAAATTTAATTGGTAATATTAACAAGTAGAATGTGTATTTATAATAATATTTTTCATAAACAGCCACAAAATATTTAATATTTATTAAAAAAAAGTGTCTGGAAGTTAAATCAATTCCACATGACAATAAATTTGTTATATAGATACTAGCGTTATTCGTTGGTATGCGTTCGCTATTTAAACTACTCCAGTCCTTTTCGTTCATAGAACACCGAACCCTACACGCTCTCTGATATACAATACAATACAATACAATACAATTTTATTTCATCCTAATCCTTGCACAGAAGCCCTCCAGAATTTCTTTATTGAAGATCAGCATTGTTCCAAATGGATAACAAAAACTGGAACTCAACTCAGAATGTATCAGGTTCATGATTTGTACCAAGAGAAACAACAACGGCACTTTCCTGCACCGTGGGAGGTTACACCCTTTCCAGTTTTAATCCCTCCCTTTCCACCCAAGAAGCAAATTAGAGATCAGCCCAAGCTTCGTCTTGAGGCAAAGCTCAACGCCTTAAGCCATATTGATGCTCTGTCCACAGAGCATTCTCTCTCTCAAATTATATACACTGATGGTTCCCTACACCGCACCACGGGTGCAGCTGGAAGTGCAGTTGTCCTGACAATGGGCGATGGCCTATACTTTGAGTGGGGAGTCCGTATAAACAACTGGGCCTCTACCCTTCAGACTGAACTATTTGCCTTGATCCTTGCACTGAAATGTGTACAAGTCTCAAAACTTGATACATTAATTGTAAGTGACTCCTTATCATCCTTAAATGCTCTCAACTCTTTAAGACATAACTGTAACATGCTCGTGTCCGAAGCTAGACACAAATACAACAAAATTATTAAGGATGGTAACAGAGTCCATTTCATGTGGTCTCCATCTCATGTTGGCCTCCGAATGCATGATAGAGCTGATAAGTTAGCCAAAGAATCTGCCTTTAAAGGAGCCGTTGAGTGTAACCTTGGATTGTCAATGAGCAATCTGAGAGCAGCTGTACACCGAGAACTTCAACAAGATCTTGTAGATCTGAGGCAAAGTGAAATTGACACCAGTAATTCCATCTATCATCATACTATCATGCAAGAGGAGCCACACATCTATGGATCATCCAATAAAATCAGCAGACTTCTAGATGTTACTACTGCTCGGCTTAGACTCGGTTACAAGTATCTCTGGGAATTCTCATTATCTGCTGATGTAGACCTGACCAAATGTAAACTGTGTCAACAAAATTATTCGCACACCCTCCGTCACTATGTGATGGAGTGCGAAAAGATACGTGAATTTAGAGACAATTCTATAACCAATGTTCCAGCGATGTGTCAATATTTCATTCAAAATGATCTGCTACCAGAAATTTTAGCCAAATATCCCCAGTTTGCTAACTGTAGGTAGTAACTAAGTGATTGTAACCTATCCACCGCTGCCCACTGGATGGGGGGCGGTGTGCAGGACAAACATATAAATTTTGACACTAGCTCTCCACATATGTCAGTTGCTTAATTTGGAACCTGTACTTGAGGTCGATCTCGAACCCATTGTTGATGTGATGACTTATATTGAATTTTGTAACTAGCTCATCAAGATTGTAACTTGCTTAGCTAAATGAATTGTGGGGTTCAGTCCCTGAGCCCATTATGTGCCTCTGTAACCCTTTCCACTACCGCCCACAAGATGGTATGGGGTGCATAATAAATGAACTAAACTAACTAAGGTTTTTATTTCAGAATAAAGACAGATGTAGACGATAATGTAAATACATTTCAAGGAAAACATATCTTAAATGAAAGCAAAGATATGGTCAAATAAATAGGCAATACCACACCATCGCCCGTGTCCGGACACATGAATATTCGCATTAGGTAGGTGAAAGGAAATGTACCCAACCATTTCCATATACGCGACCAGTTTCCGTTCTTATGTTCTTACTTACATTTCTTGAAATTTATCATCATCATCATTTACAGAAATAAATTAACATAAAAATGTAGTAATTTTAATACACAAAACAGAAGTAGATATGTATGTAAATTATGACGCAGGATAGGATCACTATTGCAGAACTATTCGCATACTTTGCGTCATTATATACAGTACTGGAATTTAAAAAAAATCGCGGAATTCAGAGATAACACCATCATTGGTGTCCAAGAGAAGTGTAAGTACTTCATTTATAATGATGTGCTGCCCGAAATCTTAGCGAAGTATCTA